GGCCCGGCACGCGTGTCCCGCTCGGGTGGCTTTTGCACTTCCGTAGTTAGGTTTAGGATTTGCTTTTCGTAAAGCGTGAGCTGCAGCTGCATCTTTCGGGACGCACCCCGCGCGACGCGGGGCTCCCTGTCCGTTTCCTTCCTCCTTCAGGGCCAGCGCCACAGACGTGGTCCCCACGGAGCTCTGGGTTTTGCACGGATGAATCCGAACTTTTTTTTTTTCATTCTGTGGCTACAGAAATCAGCTGTGCGCGAATTTGTTCATGCGCGTCCCTTTCAAAATATTTTGTGCTTTTAATATAGCTGTCAAAATGCCGTTTGACATTTTCCTCCCAGTAAGTTTGGTGGCAGCGTTAGCTGTTTGTCTTCATTGTAATGAGCCCCCTTTCGTTAAAAGGAGTTTTCCGATCAGTCTTCTTTCGATTGCGTCACACTCCCTACGCAGGGCAGAGGCGAGGGCGTCTTAGAGCACGTTTGCCACGTGCTTTATCCTAAACGATCATATGGTTTTGCACAGCGTATCCGTGTATAGCTGTTTCGTGCGTGTGCAAGAGAGAGAGAATATGCAGGGAATGAAGTTTTTCAGCAAAGTTTCGCACTCTCCTCATTTCTCCCCTTTCCAAGGGGCAGCAGGCACATTTCTGCATTACTTTCAGATCTACACGTTTGTATTTTGACCTGATACATGGCACAGCTTTTCTCTGTAATTCTCAACTTCGGCGTCCATGAAGCTGAACTCAGACTTCCCTCTAGAGGTTTTGCTGCCCCTTTTACCGTCCCGGCGCCTTCTTTTACCTAAGTAGAAAGCTTCGCTTCCCGAGCCTCTCCCCCTTCACCCTGCACTGCGCGTGCGCCGCCTCTGTCCGTTACGGATGCTCAGAAACCTTGTCTTAATCGTCGGAAACATTTCTTTATATGGCAGATGGAAAAAAGAGACTTGTTGCAAACCTTGCTAAGTACACACACGCGTCCACTATTTCCTTTCTGAGATGAACGTTAGACTCACATGCGGTATCTACAGTCCTGTGTCTACTCCCAAGTTTTTCGCAAGCAGTCCTTTTTTTTGTCATGTTGCTAACGCAGTTTTCATTCAATTACAATGTAATCCCATAATTTAACTCTTTCTCGTTCTTGGGCATTAGCTTTTCCCCGTGGTTTTAATTGGTTCTTTATGCTCCAGGCAAAAGCAGGTGTGCCGTAGGGCTTGTTAAAGACAGCGCCCCCACCCCCAGGGTATCTAATTCACTATGTCTGGTTTGGGGCCCTTTTAAACAAGTGCGGGGGTCCATCTGAGGACCCTACTGTGAGAAAAGTTACAGCCCAGCCAAATCTGTGAGCGGGGTGCCAAAGCCCAGTTCAGTATGTAACTGTGCTGTACAGACTGCAGCTCTCAAGGGGCCAGGGGAGGTGTCGCCAGACTCACTTCGGCCGGCGAGGACTTGCTCGAGATCCCGCAACAGCTGAGTTAAGCTTAGAGTTCTGTCTAGAGAGGTCTTGGTGACAAGTGCGCCCTTCAGTCTGTCACCAGGCCTTTGCTGCTGCGAGTGAGGTTTGCGAACCCGTGGCGTTGGCATCACCTGGGGTTTTGGGAGAAATGCAGGTCTCCGATCCTACCCCAGACCTGCTGCCTCAGAACCCAAATGGAAACGAGGTCTCCGGCGATCCCCACGTCCCCCCCGCACCCCTCCAGTGTGCGAAGCGCTGGACCGGGCTGCTTCCCACACCTCCAGGCACAGGGCTCGGCTCGGATGGCGGGGGCTTCGTGGCCACAGGTTAAGGCTTGTCCTGGCAGGTGAGGCAGGGAGCTAGTTAAAGGGGACGGGATGCCCCGCAGCTGTGCCGCCGCCCGGTCCCACCTTCCCACCTGGGTGCAGACAGCCAGGATTTGCCTGGCGGCACGTTGACGCATTCTGGGGGGCCGTAGGTCCAAGGACAGTGGCAGCATCGCAGCTACCCGAGGCTCTTACGACGGGGTCCCCCTCATGCGCGACGGGCCCCGCCCCAACGTTGGTGGCGCTGGGGCTGCAAGTTGGGCTGGGAGGCCTCGGAGATCGCCCTTTAAGGAGAAGGTCGGCACGGAGCAGGTGAAGCAAGCGCCCTGAGCTCGGGGCTTTAAAGACGCAGGTGCACGCCCTTACGCGGGGAACATCCGGGTGCCGGAGGGGTCGCCGCTGCGGCATCAGCCTGGAGTCCCGTCCGCGTGCGCGCAGGAGGCTTCTGTCCTCCCAGGACGCCCGGAAGACCGCCCAGGTGAGGGCACACCACCTGCAGGCCGTTTCTCCGCGTGCTGCGGCTGACGGGGGGGACCCTGGCGCGGCCCCGGGCCGGCTCCCCGCCTCACGAGTGCCCGGCGGTGGCCAGGGCTGGAGAGAGGGGGGCGCGGCCGTCCACACCGACCACATGCCCCCCGAGCCGTGAGGACAGGTGCACCTTGCGCAGGACGCAGGGGGCGGGGGTCGAGTGTCGCAGCCTGCGAGCCAGCACCTGCCCAGTACGTGCTCTGCTCTGGCCGGTTCTTCTCGTGGGATATTCCTTGTGACAGGTGATAAAAACGCCCTATAAAGAGGTGAAGTGCCGTATTGAGTCGCACGCCCCAACTGCTGGGTGTCCCTTCCAGTCTTGACCTCCTCCTCCAGCGGGGACAGGCCCGCCACACTGCTCTGCACAGTTTTGTTCCTTGCGATCGCGTATTTAAGCTGTAGGAATCGTTTATAGCGGTTCGCCTACTCTAGCTGTATAGGTTCTGTCTTTCTCGCTTAATGCTGTTTTCAGTGTTTATCCGTGTCGTGTGTGAATCCAGGGGGGCGTTTTCATCTCCACAGAGCATTCCGCCACCTCAGTCCCCCCTGCAGCTGCATCTGACACCACTGTATACGTGTGCGGGTGCGTATGACGCATACTGAGTCTCTAACTCACACATGTGCATCAGCGTGCACAGGGGTGGTAGATGTGTTTACATGAAGGATGCGCACATCTGTGTATGCCCCAGAGCAGACGAGTCCCTTCTAGAGCCAACAGTCGTTGGGTCCTGTGCAGCCTGCAGTTGTCCCCAGCACCGCTGCCACAGACAGCTTAGGCCCTGACACCTACACTCAGGAGGAGCCCCAGACCCTGGTGACTCAGCAGGAGGAGCCCCAGACCCTGGTGACTCAGCAACATGCAGGAGGAGCCCCAGACCCTGGTGACTGAGCAACGTGCAGACGGGGGGCTGCAGGGGGAGGGCCGCGGGGTGGAGGCAGCTGGTTCAGCTCTGCCCATTTCCTGGTGACTTAGTACAAACTGCATGGGCTGTTCCAGCTCTCTATTGGACTGCGACTGAGGCAGGAAAAGCTAACATTTCAGCCTCTGTTTTTCCTTGTTGCTTGTGCCTCCGAGCGTATGGC